TATTCCTTTATATGTGGTTCAGAGTTCTGGGACCAGCCCCTGAGCCTGCTTGGTCAGGTATTCTGTGTTGTTGTTGGCGGAGTGCTCTGCTACACATCCATCCGATCTTCCATCTTGTTTGTTCTCCCCCAGCTGATTTCTTAAAATGCATAAGATTGGATTTGTGAGGGCAGAGCCAATAAAACACAATTATGCTCAGGCATACTACATCATGTTAGGCAATTGAGGAGATTGTCATTTTGCCAGCATTCAAATAGCTAAATTTCAAAACTTCTTCAGTAACCTTTGCATATTATTCTCCAGCTCAGCTAAAGACAGGACCATTAGTTACTTCAGCTTCAAAGGAAATATCTGAAGGTGGAAACGTATTCTTATATTTCTACACTCTTGTTGAAGTTAAATAGAAAAATCCTTCAAATGTGTACTCTCTTCTTGAACACCTTTTATCTTAACCAGATACATTGGATCTGCCTTGTACACTAAAGAATTTATATGGCGGGCAAAGGAACTGGAAGACATGATCAGGTAAGAGTTGTGGTCAAAAGTGATCAAAGAAGCCCATTCTAATTTATTTCCTTATCTCAGAATAAGTGCTTGGTAACATCTGGGATTATAGTTCCACCAGAAATACCCAAAGCCTTTGCATTTATATATGATAAAGTATTCACCTATAGATGTAATCTCTGAGAAGGATTGTAAGGATGCTACAAATGACTTCAGTCCTGAGTATTACCTGGATAATTTAGATAGCATAGCATAGCTGTAAGATCCCATGGTGTGGCACTGTGGGTTAATGCACTGGACTGCAAAGTTGGTTTGAACCAGCAGCTCCTTGAAAACCCTGTACAGGGTCACTATGGGTCAGAACCAACTCAACTGTTCTTAATAATAGCAACAACTGCAATTTTAACACTAGTGTTACAGAGACTGGGGAAGCTGTAGGTGCCAGTCTGTTTCCAGTCTTAGAAACCCTGCTGAGTTGCTCTACTCTGTCCTATAGCATCACTATGATTTGGAATTAACTTGATGGTAGTGAGTTTGGATTTGGGTTTCTCAGGGAATAGACAACTTCCATCCGAATCATTCTTACAAGTTGAATTTTTATTTTTACTAAATTATCTATGTTAAAAAAAATATCTGTGCCTGGTGTGGAATTTCACTCCACCAAGTGTTACAATGTCTTTTTCATATTCATCACAAGCAGGAGAATGAATGTAGGACAAGTGTTAGGAAACACGGCAATAAATTAGATTATAATTTACAAAAGCAAAAAAGTAACAGTGTACCACATTAATACTGAGTATAAAATAATAAGCAACAACTAATCACAATAATACAAAGGTAATTTCATTCTGTATTATTAAGGATACCTAGGTGACATTCACTCCAATAAAAAGTTGTTAATGATAATTTGTATCTCAAGGAGTTTAATCAGTTGGGTACATTTTACTTTTCCTTTCCTTGTTAGGCAGACAATGTTCTCAACTTGTGGGATACAAGTTTCCTTGGGATTCCCTAAGTAGTATATAGCTCACTACTTTTGGAGGGCCTGCCTGGGATGCCCAGCCTCTACTGATATTGTTAGATAGGAATAGAGCAGAATTTATCCATGTGGGTAGTCAGAGTAGCAGCAGTATTGTGATGTGCTGTGGAGTATGACTTTTCTCCCCACTCAGGTATAAGTTTAGGTCTATTTGAAGATGTATGAATCCCATTGGATTCTGTGCTTGGTTTCCTCATAAAGGTAATCTAGTAAAGTTCAGAGAATTATCTGCATCCTTGTCTTGGTGCTCTTGTCTGTCCCAGAGGGGACTCTGGCTGCTCTCCTTGTCTAGCACCAGTTGGAGCAATGCACAGTGCCCAAGAAACAGGTTTCTCAATGTTAGTTTACAGGTGAGGTAAAAGAAGAATACTCATTACTTATTGATGTATAAAATCTTTTTGAAATAGAAACAGGAGCTGATATTTATGTTGGTGCCCTGGGGAAAAATCAGATCTTAATAGCAAACTTATGCCTAAAATGGCACAAAAGCTATAATTTCTTTCTTTCTTTGTTTTCTTAAAAAAAAAACTAAAATCACCAGAGCACACTAGCACCAAGTTAACTGTTCTATGAAAAGGACCAAGGAAATTCAGTGCCAGTGTTGTGCACCTGTGGGCAGCTCAGCCTTCACTAAATGGCTAAAATGGCACTTGGACTATCCTTGTAAGGACACTATAGGGAGGGCTCCTGCAGGAGACTCTTATGTATCATCCATAGCTCTGTTTGGAAAGCTTATGTATGTGAGTTATTGTGCTGTGAGAAAAAGCAAGTGATGAGATCTGATGGCTATGTCTGAGTATGCAGAATAACATCCATGTCTGTTGTCCAGTCCAACATGAGAACATAGGTATAAGTCTCTAATCCTTTCTGAACAAACCTAATCATTCACATTAGGTCATGGTTTATGTGAACCACCTGGCATGTAGTTTCAGAACACAGTGATAGATTTTAGTCAAAGATGCTCTTTAACTGTGAGCATTATCTTCACCAAGTAGCCACTTACATGTAATGTATGTGTGGTGTACTATAGCAAAGGAGGCATGTTGGACACCCTTGTACCTGTTGCAAGGTACAAGAGTCCAGGACCAAAACAACAGTATAAACAAGTATCCTCCACCACCACTTTAGAAAATCTAAGTGTTGAGTCTTTGGAAGAGCAGAATGTGAAACTTTGAAGACAGAGAAAATCTGAGCTAGTCATTTTAATTCAGGTGCATGAGATTCAGGTGCATCAAATTCTAGAATTTGATATGCCCAAGAAACAGGGTTTCATATTTGATTGCCATTTGCAGAGTATCCATCAAAAATACAAAATACTTGGCTGGGTGAAATTAAGGTTATACTTTATGATCTTTAGGTTTCATGAATTTTTCTTCTTTGGTTGTTATCCCTTGCCTACTTTAAAACTCACAGAAATAGCACACTTACGTGTAAACACACTCATCTGCCCACACACTCAGAATGTCCACACACACATACACACACACACACACTTGATTTCATATAAATAAATGCCCTTCCACCATATTAAAGAAGAGACATCTGGAACCCATCATAATTGTCAGCAAATTTTGCAAAACCGTCTGCCTGGCTGTTATCAAACCAGTTGATCTTTTGCATGGTATCTATCATATCAGTAAGCTCAACATGCGTGCAACAATTTAACAGGGCAGAAGCCATTCTGGTGGTGAGGACGTAAACACAAGTAAATTGGGGTGACTCAGATAAGAACCGAGGCATCCTGCATGGTGGTAGCAAAGGGCTAGTACTTCCGTTTCTACCATACCTCAGGCCTGGCTTCTGCCTGAGATTGAAATGCATTTCTCTTAAAGTTTTAATGGAAATCTCAGCTTCACTTGCACAATGGCAAGTTGGCCACAGGCTTAAAGCACTGAATTTATAGACCTGCACAGCTGCAGCAACTGATGCACTGCTTTAAACTAAGTCCCTCATTGTTGTTCAGTTTAATATAGTTTTATATATGGCTCACAGCAGTGTTCAGAACAGGGGGATTATTCTTAAGGAAATTAAGTGGAATGAAGAGAAATAATACAAACTTTCATTACTTTTGATTTATAATTGCTCCTTAAATTACAGTTCAAAACCCATTTTATAATTTAAGTTGTGGTGCTGTTGTAGTGAGATATAGTATAGTAAATATTTTTAAGCTATGACTTAAGATTTCTGAATCTTCTTTACTTCCATAGTTGACCAAGTCATAACAGCTACATTTTAAACAATTTTAAATACAAATGGATTCAGTGTCATTGCTAAGTCCATAATAAAAATTATCTTAATGGTTCAAGGAGGTAAACAGGCTATTGGATTTACTCGAAAGAACACAAACGTTCCACAGTAAGCAAGTCTCCCTGTGTTGTTTGGATCTCTCCAATCTGGCATTTCCCCCTATTACCGTGTCCAGCACTTTGGATCAATAAATCCCACTTCACAGAAGTTAAAATAATATTGAAATCCTGTCAGCTAGGGCTGACCAGTGGTTACGTTTTCCACAGGGTAATGCATTTGCAAGGAACTCAATCCTCTTCCTCTGGGTGGCTCTCTTTGATGGACACATTTCCACGATGAAATGACAAGACTCCCTCTTTGGCTTTCTGTGGGTCAGTGTCCTTGGCAGGTCTTACAACACATCTGTCTGAAGTATGCTCGACTGCAGAACTTGAACTTCAGCACCAGTGGGCAATAAGCCACTTTGTTCACATCTTTGCACTCTAACGAATGGGGCAGAAAATGGAAAACAATTAGAGACATATAAACAAGCTGATGAGCCTGTATGCTTACCAAGGCACCCCTTGGGCCAACCTACCTTGGCTTATACATGTATGCAGTATTTGTTTTTAAGCATAGTATCTGGTACAGCCTACCAGAAACATTCTTTTGATATATTTTAACACAGATTTAGGGGAGAAAATGTTTGCAAGGCTTTTCTCCCAGACTTTTATAAGTATGGTGTATGCCCACTGTGTCTTGAAAGAATTACCATTTGTTGGGATAAGTGATCACTTTAGACAGCTTGGAAACATGAGTCATTTTTCTTACAGCATTTTTATTGCTTCTTTCTCAAGGGTTATTTTATTCAGCAGTGCAAGGTTATCCAAAATCAAACATGAGTTGCATTGTTTGATACCAAAGTACACATGCCTCAAGAGAATCTCTGCATCTGTGAGGCACTGGGATGGGCCTGGATGAATGAAAAGGGCTGCTGACAGTGGCCTAGATTCAGCAACTACACCAGACAAAGAGGAAAGCTTTGAGGGGTTGGCCTCAAATGGCAGCAGTCTGTGGGTTATGGAAACATGTAGAAATGTCTTTTTTTAATTTGGAAGTGAGACATGGTCTCCTTTTTTCCTATGTGTATTTTCTCCTCGGTGCTAGAATTGCCACAGTTGCAGTCTGTAGTTCTTGCAGCCAGAAGGTGAATAAATGATTATTCTTTTCTCGTCTTCCTTTGAGGTTGACTGCAGAAGGTGGCACTGAAGGGCTAATGTAAAGAAAGGGATGCAGGGCTTTGATTCTCAAAACCCACCCTCACCTTCCCCATTTCCCTGCTGCTGCTAGTAATAATATTCCACTCCAGTTCTTTGGTCACTTTTATCTGGGGATTTAAAAATTTTAAACATACTAATTAAATTTCCATATGCCTCCTAGAATCAAAGTTCCACCCTCGTTTTTCCAGGTGGTAACACTGAAGAATCTTGGGTAAATTGTTTAAGGTAATTAAGAATCAGACAGAGCAGATGGTAAAACTTCAGTGTAACAGAACATTTTTGTTTGTTTTCATATTGACTTGTTTATTTCTGACTGTAGAAATCTACTAAGTTCTGCAAGTTCAAGCATATAGTATTTGGGTCATATGACAAATACAGAAAATTATGTATAAAGACATGGAAAAGTTTCCAGTTGTTATTATGGTAAAGTAAGGTAAACAGTTGTATTGATTATTGGACTACTAACCACAGATCAGTAGTTCAAACCCACCAGCCACTCTCGGAAATCATATACAGGGGTCACTATGAATTGGAACTGACTCTACAGCACATAACACCACCACTACCACAAAGTGAGTGAATGACTTTCAGGGAAAGATTTAAAATTTGAACCCTCTGAAAATGCCAGTTCTGCCACCATCAAACTCCCTTACTCAAGATTTTATTTATAAAGAGAATAATACTTAGAAATTTGAATAGAAACTCTCCACAGCGAGACTCAACAAATTTAAGTTTAGACTGAAAGAAGGTATGAAGAACATGGAAAAACTTCACACTACAAAAATAAAAAAAATAAAAAAGAGAGAGAGAGAGAGAGAGAGAGAGAGAGAGAGAGAGAAAAGAGATCCATTTGGTAGATCAAGTTTAATTTTTAAAAGTCTTCCACCTATTTTAATTGGGAGGTTATTTGATATTGTATTTTTCTTTTGTTCTCTAACAATCAAAACCAATGAAAACAACCAAGACAGTTTAGCTTGGAAGTATTATTGTGGAGTAAAGAATGTTTTATAAGTGTTACCAAGAGTGGCATACAATAATACTATTATCAAAATGATGACAAAAACTGAACATATACCTGATGACACAATGTCACTCATCTTTAATTCCATATCACCATCCTAATATTAGGCATCAGAATAGACTGATCTAGTGTATTCTGCAACAGGACATGGTAGGACTGCTTAAATACAAGAGAAATATTAGCTCTGGCATTCTTTCCAAAACAGAAAAATGATTTAAGTTGATAAGCAGATAAGAGGTAGACTCCTTGTTTTCTCTTTTAATCATTCAAGGAAATAAAATTAGAAGTCAGACCGCCTGGGTTTAAAACTAGCTCAACCACTTACAAACTTTATGACTGAGAAAATTCTTAAACTCTCTGTGCCTCTGTTTCGCCACCCATAAAGCAGGGATGAGTGAAATAACCACTTCCATGTGCATTATATATAACCTTATATACACCACCTAGAACAGTGTCTAATGCATAGGAAGTACTCAGTCAATAAGTATGTACTATTGAATTACAGTTATTATGATCATTATCAATTACTCTTTTATCACCTGATGATAGGGGATGGGGAGCAGTGGGTTAGACTCTGAACAGCTCAATGGGGGAGCAATAGTTAGCTATATCTACCTAACTACTGGGAGTTCTTGTGTGGTACAATATGATGAGCACTGGACTGTAAGGTCAGTTGAACTGTGAGGTCGGTAGTTCAAACCCACCAGCTGCTCCTCAGAAACCCTATACAGGGTCACTATGAGTAGAAACCAACTCAATGACACTTAACAACAAACAACAATCATATTACTGAAAAAAACATTACTCTAAAGACACAAGTAAGTGTGAAGACAAAACAAGCAAGAATATTTCTTGGAACACAACTATATTGTAAGATGTTGTACTACATTTTTGGAAGAATTGCTAGACTAAGAAAATTCTGAGCTGAGCAAAATATAAGCAAATTAGCAGGTTTTTCTTTTAGATTTAGACTTTGGAATCTGATTGATTTCATGAAGAGTGAAAGATTTATAAATTGCTTCTTCCCTCACTCCTACTTACTCATCACTCATCCATAAAAGTTATAACAAATATAAATAGTCAGAATTAAGCACCTTGGGTGGTTGTTGTTGTTATGTGCCGTGGAGTCGGTTCTGACCCATAGCGACCCTGTACAGGGTTTCCGAGGCTATAAATCTTTACGGGAGCAGAAAGCCTCATCTTTCTCCCAAGGAACAGCTGGTAGTTTCGAACTGCTGACCTTGCGGTTCACAGCCTAATTTGTAACCACTACGCTACCAGAGCTTCTATGCTCCTTGGGTAGGTACCAGAAACAAGACAACTCTCTTTCTAGACAGAAGTCCAGAGTACACGTCCATTGTTTAGAAGTAATATAGAGCCTAGAGACAACCTGAAAGCCAGTTGCCAGGGTATCCCTCTTGAACTTTCCAATATTCCTGTTAAGTTAGTTTCCAATCACATTGAAATATCACAGTACCCAATAACAGGGATATTGGGAAGTTCAGAGAGGGATACCTTAGCAATTGGCTTTCAGGTTATCTCTAGGCTATGTATTACTCCTAGACCAGGAGCTGGATTTCCTCTTCCACTATCACCATATATCAGCTAAGTATGCTACTGGGTGGAGAATCTGTATTGCAAGGATGAGAGATCCTCATTGTGTTGTTTTTAGGAAACACTGTGTTGACTTAACTGGTTTTATCCCTGTTCCCAGGGATGGGGGTGGAGAGGAGTTGCATATTACTCCAGGTCAGAGACTTGATAGGAATGACAATTTATGTGTATTACCAAATTCTTCCAGGAGACTAGGGAATGCATCAAACCTGAAAGCCAATGCCCAGGCACTGTGATGCCAACTGGATCCATTATTAGCATCTGAAGTAATGTGCTAGGCATGCAGGAAAGAGTCTCATTGGTAATCTGCATTTTGGTAGATTGGAATAATAAAATTAGACAACGTTTCATAGGCAACGCATGAACCTACTTATCATTGGTGTTCCAATGTATTTTCCCCAGGTACTTTGCATTAATCTTTCAGAACTCTGACCTAAAAGACATGATTTCAAAATACATTGAACAGAGGTTCACACTGAACTTATGAGTTTAGGAGTCAACTGGATTCAGATTCATTGTGAATTTGAAGATTAGACTTGGCTCCAGTAATACAACACCAACTCCTCAAAAGCAGTAGGCTGTAAAATTTATTTTATTTAAAATTCCTCTGCCAATTCTGCCTAACTTGTCTAATTGGACTGAGTGGGAATACACAGGCACAAATCCTTCTATGACCAGCTTGGATCAATCCAGATCTCTCTTTTGAGAATGAAATGTTCTCTGTGTCTTTATGAGATTCAGAGGAAGAGTACAGTAGATAATTAATTATGACTTAAGCACCTAAGGGTTGATTTTTTTTGGATTTAAAAATATAAACAGCTGTACTTCTGTCAAGCTGCCCATGAAAATGTAAAGCTTGGTGAGAAGTGAGATCACAAAGGCTGTGCATGCGCATGTGTATTGAAGGAGCTGAGGTAGAGAATGTGTACTCAGAGGATTTTTTCTGATAAAATTGTACTTAAGTCCTTGACATTTTACATATCAGGCTGGGAAAGGATGAAATGCCAAATTTCATTGGGAACCTGACATTATTCATTGTAATGGGAGTGGTCCGTCAGATGATTTTAATCTTAGAAGCAAAAATCATCTAAGAAACTATCCTGATTTCGATTTATCATAGATTAAACCATTCCCTTCTCTATTTGCTTTTTCAGTTCAGTTTTACTCAGTCATACTCCCTTAGTGCCACCCACATTTAACCTTGAGGTGGTAGGATTCCAACCAAATTCCAAGGTTATGTGACTATGAATGCTAAAGTAAATTATGAGCTCTCTGAAGTAGCAAAGGAAAAACTAGTCCTCCTCACCTTTTTGAAATCAAAGTCTTCATCTGACCTTCATTATTCCTTTCAATTACTTTAATACATTTGAGGCCACATTCAAACCCAAATTCAATAGCTATTTTGTTCCAGGGCTCTTGGTAAGAGATTTCTGGAGATGCCCAGCTTTCCAAGACCCACTTATTTGAGAGAGACCAATAACCACCAAAGCCACCATTAGACAGCACAGGTCAGTAAACCAATGAATACCAACCACACCTTTCCGGGGTTGGTTACAAGCTCATGGCATACTATAAATCATTACATAGC